CTCTGTGTCTCTGTGTCTCTGTGTCTCTGTGTCTCTGTGTCTCTGTGTCTCTGTGTGTCTGTGTGTCTGTGTGTCTGTGTGTCTGTGTGTCTGTGTGTCTGTGTGTCTGTGTGTCTGTGTGTCTGTGTGTCTGTGTGTCTGTGTGTCTGTGTCCTGTGTGTCTGTGTGTCTGTGTGTCTGCGTGTCTGCGTGTCTGCGTGTCTGCGTGTGTGCGTGTCTGCGTGTCTGCGTGTCTGCGTGTCTGCGTGTCTGCGTGTCTGCGTGTCTGCGTGTCTGCGTGTCTGCGTGTCTGTGTGTCTGTGTGTCTGTGTGTCTGTGTGTCTGTGTGTCTGTGTGTCTGTGTGTCTGTGTGTCTGTGTGTCTGTGTGTCTGTGTGTCTGTGTGTCTGTGTGTCTGTGTGTCTGTGTGTCTGTGTGTCTGTGTGTCTGTGTGTCGTGTGTCTGTGTGTCTGTGTGTCTGTGTGTCTGTGTGTCTGTGTGTCTGTGTGTCTGTGTGTCTGTGTGTCTGTGTGTCTGTGTGTCTGTGTCTGTGTCTGTGTGTCTGTGTGTCTGTGTGTCTGTGTGTCTGTGTGTCTGGTGTCTCTGTGTCTGTGTCTGTGTCTGTGTCTGTGTCTGTGTCTGTGTCTGTGTCTGTGTCTGTGTCTGTGTCTGTGTCTGTGTCTGTGTCTGTGTCTGTGTCTGTGTCTGTGTCTGTGTCTGTGTGTGGGTGGGTGGGTGCGTGTGTGTGTGTGTGTCTCTGTGTGTGTGTAGGTTTGTGTAGGTGTGTAATTGTGTGTTTGTCTGTGTTTGTCTGTGTTTGTGTGTTTGTGTGTTTGTGTGTTTGTGTGTTTGTGTGTTTGTGTGTTTGTGTGTTTGTGTGTTTGTGTGTTTGTGTGTTTGTGTGTTTGTGTGTTTGTGTGTTTGTGTGTTTGTGTGTTTGTGTGTTTGTGTGTTTGTGTGTTTGTGTGTTTGTGTGTTTGTGCTCGTGTTTGTGTGTTTGTGTGTTTGTGTGTTTGTGTGTTTGTGTGCTTGTGGTTGTGTGTGTTGTGTGCTTGTGTGTTTGTGTGCTTGTGTGTTTGTGTGTTTGTGCGTGTGTGTGTGTGTGTGCTTGTGTGTTTTGTGTGTTTGTGTGTTTGTGTCTTTGTGTGTTTGTGTCTTTGTGTGTGTGTGTGTGTTTGTGTGTTTGTGTGTTTGTGTGTTTGTTTGTTTCTGTGTTTCTGTGTTTTTATCTTTGTGTGTGTATATTAATATGTTTGTGTCTTTGTTGTTTTAGTGTGCTTGTGTGTTTGTTTGTTTCTGTGTTTCTGTGTTTGTGTGTTTGTGTGTTTGTGTGTGCGGTTGCATGTGGTTGTGTGTGTGTGTGTTTGTCTGTGTGTCGCGCGCTTGTGTTTGAGCGTGCGCTTGTGTCTCTTTGTCTGCGCCTGTCCCTGTGCCCGCATTTGAGCGCGCCTGCGCCCACGTCTTTGTCTGCGCTTGCGTTTGCATCCCTGCGCGTCTGCGTGTCTGCGGGCGAGTGGGCAGCTGCACTGGTTGGTTCGCAGGCAGGCAAGCAGGGTTGAGATGAAGGCAATCAGCCAGGCAGCCAGCCAGGCAGGGGGGGAGGGGGGGTGAGGCAGGCACACTCGCCAAGCACTCTCCAGGCATTACACCGCAGCATCTGAGCCACAATCCATCTAAGTAAAGGTACATCAGGTCATTGTGCCTTGGAGCATTATGCGGGCATCCCTATGCTACGACTGCCTGCAAGCTCTCACTTTTGCAGCCCGGGAAATGCCGAGATTGCAGCTTCTTATACACATCTATCTGGACCTTGGTGGCACAAGTATGGCAACACAGCACATGCCCCAGGACCAAGCAGTTGAAACCACATATATGCTGCGCTGCATGTCTTGCAAAGAAGTTCTCCTCATCCATTCTATCAAATTCCCCAAGGCCCGAGCGCATAAGTATGTCCAGTCGTCCGAAGATCCCTGGCACTGCGTGGCACATGACATCGCAGAAACTGTACATTCTCAAAACATTTGAATGGAGACTGGAAATAGTCGTTGTTCTATATCGTAGCGAATTGGACTCTGTCATGGTTTACAAACAGCCCCCAAGCCTGCAAGTGTATGTCTCTGGCCATCTTGTCAAGCTGGGCAAGCCTTTGTCACGTGCAATATCTCTCTCCAGTTTCAGATCGTTTTGCCAGAACCATCAGTTGCCGACCCATGAGATGGTGCGTGGTCGATGGTATCCACCTTCACTAGCGAAAGCGCAACATCTGCAAAGAAGCAAAGAGTCGGAGCCTCCAAAAGAGACATAGTTGCCACCAATGCCAGTATCCCGACACAAACCTGCAAGCTGGTTGCTTGGAATGTGAGACAATGACTCTCGTTTAATTGACTCCATCATCCCAACCAGCCCGCCTTCATTGCTGTGCTGTCACTTAGCCTCTGCGTGAGTGCCCACACCTGCAACACAAGCAAAACCAGCAAGCAGCGCAACGAGACAACTTCGGTCAGAAAGTCAATCACACCAATTCTCGCCGGAAAGGAATGAAGCATGTGCGAGCTCAGCCCCAAGCACTCCCACCATCGGACTCCAAGTCGTGGCGGTGAAACTCAACAAGGTGTACTCCTGGCCACCGAGCTGTCAGACGTCGGTTTGCCTTTCAAGGATAACTCGCAAGCCACGCCGAGCCCAGTCTCCATCAGAATGCCACTGAAGTCTTCCACGGTTAGAATAGGTTCTCGGCAGGAGCTTAAGGGTGTTACAAGGAATCACAGGGTATGAATCGGTATGAGTTGGATTGAGTCATAAGGCAATTACCGTTCTCAACAATCTCCCCGCTCTCAGTCTGCCCGCGGCTCAGAAGCAGGTCTTTGTCCTGGCTGTCAAGCGAAGCACTTCGGAAGTTGAAACACAAAAGGTAGGACACATCACATTCAAGTCAGGAAGGCAATCCAGGCCACATCTGCCGCAAGCAATCCAGACAAAATCTGCGGCCAGCAATCCAGGCAAAATCTGCACCAAGCAATCCAGGCAAACTCAACCGCAGACAATCCAGGCAAAACCTGCGGCAAGCAACGCAGACAATATCCGCGGCAAGCAATCCGTGCCAAACTCCACCGCTGGCAATCCAGGCAGAACGTGCGGCAGGCAACGCAGGCAAAATCCGCGGCAAACGATCCGGGCGAGACGTGCGGCCAGAAATCAAGTTAAAATATATTCGGCAAGCAATGCACACAAATAAAAGCTACGGCAAGCAATCTAGGCAGAACAATTACGGCAAGCAAAGTGAGCAAAGAAAATCTGCGGCAAACAGCCAAGATAAAAACTGCAGCAAGCAAACAAGGAAAATGCACATCGAGCAATCTAGGAAAAACTGCGTCAAGCAATCCAGGCAATGCAGCAATCCGGGCGAGACTTGTGGCAAGCAATCTAGGGAAAGCCTGTGGCAAGCAATCTAAGCAAAAGCGGCAAGCAATCCAGGCAAAATCCATAGCAAGCAATCCTAGCAAATCTGCGGCAAGCGAGCCTAGAGCAAGCAATCTAGGCAGAATATTACGACAAATAGCGCGCAGGCACAATCTGCGGCAAACCGTCAAGGCGAAACGTGCAGCAAGCAATCCAAGCAATATGAAAATCCGCGGCAAGCAATTTAGGCAGCGTAAGTACGGCAACAATGCCCAGGCACAATCTGCGCCAAGCAAACAGGAAAACCTGCTGCTAGCAATCCAAGCAAAATCTGCGACAAGCAATGCAAGCAGAATCTGCGGCAAGCATTCCAGACAATATCTGCGGCAAGCAATCTAGGCAAATTCAGCGCACAAGCAATTCAAAAAACATGTGGCGAGCAATCCAAGCAAAATCGGCAGCAACGGCGAGCAATCCGGGCAAAACCTGCGACAACACCAGAGAGATGAGCGAAGCGACGAATCAAAGCCGGGGGGGGGGGGATGGGGGATTCTTCATTGGTTTTGCGATCGGGCCGACTTCCAGACCCCCTCACCCCCTCAGTCTAACCATCCTTGGAGAGCAACGTGGCCACGTCCACTTTGTCCGGACGCACGTGCGGGCATTCCTGAGTGCGTAAATCTTAACGCAGGAGGTCCCATGCCGCAGGAATATCTGGCGCGCACAGGCATATGGAGGGGGAAAGGCCAGCATGAGCCCAGAGCACAAAACGACCAATGTGTGTGACCAATCATTGATCCACATTGAACACCCAATTTAAACGTCTCACATTTGAGAGCACCCTGCTCTCAAAAGAACAAGTCCCAAGTTATCAACCAAACTCAACGCCTCGACCAAACGAAACCGTAGCTGTTGATTCCTTTGTGCGCATAGCCGAACAATCTGCCGAGGCAAGAGCTTGTAGAAGCGCCAGGTAGAAAATCTTCAGATCAAACACTGACAGCTTGCCCTCACCTTGGAAAAGTTGCCACCCAGGGCGAAGTGCTTCACTTTCTAAGCCCCAGCCAGCGGTGTCCAAGTATTGGAATAGCCGCCATAGGCGCCTTTGCAATTTCATCAACTGCTTGTCCTGAAACTTTAAGCTTTGTTTGAGTATCTAGGGCTCATTGCTGTCCAAATTCAACTTTGCCCTCGTGCCTCAACAGCAGCTGCTCTGCAAGGGCGTTGCTTTGCTTCCTGCAAGGCGCAACAAAATTGTCGCCTGGGCAGCAAGGAGCCGCGCTCCAAATCGCATGGACAGCACATTGCTAAACAGCTCAAACTCCCTCTCATACACAAATTTGCGCAGACCAAAAACGCACTCAATGGATTGTCCTGCAGAGCTTGAGCACGCGCGGGATCAACTTCGTGACCTACTTGAATCAAGGATAGGGATAAGGTTGACGCTGCTTAACATAGGAAACTAATCAATGTCCATGAAAAAGACAATGCAACATATGCAGGCGGGGTGACCCACAGAAGCCTAACGCGAATCCACTTTGCCATACGACTGTCTACACAAAAGCACTCTGCAAGCAAGCGGCTCGGGCTACTCTGCCGATCCTGGCTATGCGGGCAATCCTGGACGATCGCGCCTCGTCCCAGTCTCTCTCTCTCTCTCTCTCGCTCTCTCCCCTTCTTGGCCTGCGCACTCAACTTTACACTTGGTGCCAGGCCAGGCGCGACAAAGAGGAGCCTTTGCTGTCCACGGCAATCTCGGCCACAAACCTTCCGAACACATCCAGTGCACCCTTGCCAGCAACCTAGCTATCTTACTGAGGCCCGGTCCAGGTGTCCAAAAACAAGCTGACAAGTGAAACCTCCAGCGAAGCAGAAAAACTGACCAGAGTGCAGGCGAACCAGGCGAACGCATCTAGGGCGCACGCAGCATCTAGCACAAATGGAATGGAAAGAATGTAGCTTCCTGGTGTCAAGTCAACCAACTTGCACAACAAGCCTACGAGAAGCCGGTGAGGAAGCATCAAACATCGTCCTTCAACACAGACTATGAGGATGAGCTCGAACAAAAACCTCGTTGCGCGATCAGGGCATCAAAGCATTTGGGCAGCTGAAAACGAGAGCAAAGAACCAAACAACACAAAGCACAAGCAGTAAAAGGTGTATTTGGCGTCAAATCCAATCAGGTGCACCGCTTCGGGCATTCCTCTTGAAAGCCCAGCAGACCACACAAACGAACGAAGCTTCAACAAGAATATTGCTCCGCTGAAACGCGTCTCAACTCTCTGCTTACATCTGCAAGGAGCTGAGCAGCCTACTCATGCAAAGTATTAACCCTGTGCGCTGCTGCCATTCACCGGCGCGCAAGAGAAACAGTGCCCTAACCAGCTCCTAGGCGGCAACCTACATGAAACCCACGCCAAGCTGGCGCCAAGGGCTGTGAGCGGCCGTCTTATGCTAATCCGTTCTATATCACAAAGCACTCGGCGAGGAGGCGGTGCGCATGATGCGCATGATGCGCACGCGTGCCTTCTCGTGCACATACACCATGTCGGAACAAAACCCCACTGCCACAGCCCATCTGCGCTTCTCTCACTGCCCAACCTGGGAGGGTCCCAACCATCCGTACCCCCGTTCTGGCTGCCTGCCACTGCCAAATCCCCACTGGCACGCAACGGTTCCGCCCCTCTGGCTCTCAGACCACATTCCACAGCCAACAACTGTCGGTCACATTCTTAGCGGCAATACTCCCAGCAGCCGCCTACTCTGCCCTTTCCATTCCAGCGATCAGCATACTCAACAACGTCCGCAGCCCGGACAAAATAAAACACGTATATCGCTGACATGTACAAAGTGCAAGTAAGCTGCCGAGCACGGCAACAGGGTTTGACTAGAATAAGAGTGATGGGTTCTTGAAAAAAGTTTGTGGATGCTAACTTGCCCACGTGACCGAACTATGGCTGATCCTTTCTGGGGGCTTGCTTGCAAGAATGCTGCGGGATGGGTGAGTCGATGAAAAAAGAACAGCCTGTGTCCTGAATCTTTGTAGGCCAAGGCACAAAAAGAAAACCACAGTATTCGCCGTGAGCAACGGCTCCTGAGCTGGGTTTGAATTCCAAATATCCCTTGTGGTTGAAATACCGAGTCCCCCACGTCAGCATCGCTGTCGGTACATATATGGATCAAGTCTGGAAAGATCAAGACGTAAACCGTGAGCCTAAGCGTAGGATACGATGGAGTCCAAAGCCTGGGGATAGAAAAGTGAATGGCAGGTTCATGTTTGCGCGCGTGCGGGTGAGGTTCGTGGGTGCTTGCGCATGTGCGTGTGCGTGCGCGCGTGCATGGAGCCATACCTGCAACAACTTCTTCTGTCGCTACTCAAGATGTAAGGCTTGTGCAGTTCAGGTCTGCAAAAGCACACAAATACACGGTTGCGAGTCGCCTCTAGGCGTGCTGTTGCGCCTTTTGTCTCTGAGGAGCAGATTTTGCAGCATGCTTTTGCACTGGTACGACATTTTGTTCCAGGGTATACAATATCTTGTACATGTCTACAAGTTTCAGCATGTGTCTGAGACTGAAAGGAACATAGCAGCGGCTTCTTTGTATCCGACACCTGGAGAAGGATCTTGCATAGACATCTGCCAGATTGAGCAAATCTGAAAAAAGAACCTAGCGGAAGCACAAAGAAAAAGAAAAAAGGGAATTGACGGAATTGAGCATGACCAAAACAAACTCTGGACTTTGGCTAAGGTGGCAATTCTGGTTTACGGCCTCCTCAGCACGGTGTTTTCTCACGTCTTTGTTTGTTGTCTTCCTCAAGGTTGCTTGGTTTTGTGTTGCTTTTTGTGTCCCTCCAAGCTTGTGATTTGCAAATTGCTTTGAACTATATAAAGAACGATTTGAGAAAATCCACAGAACCCCACTCAAAGCATTGCTTTCTAAGATGTGTAAGCCGCCCAGATCTGTCTCTGCAAGCATCGCTGTTCACTCAGAGCTTCTTGAGCTTCTGCGCAACGGGGTTAAGCAAAAGGTCATTTACACGGGATGCCACGTGGTCATTTGGGGCCAGGAATGATAAACCCCACATGACTATCAAAACCCGGTAGTAAAATGTTCTACCCGCATTCATGTAAGGAAACAAAAGAGGCGGCCCCGCAGATATTTCTGGCTGGGACTGCAAATGTTAACTACCCGGGTGTTGACTATGGCTCACATGACTGATGCCATGGCACACCACAAGCAACAGGTGCTACCACAAACAAATGAAAGGAATCGATATTTGCAAAGGAATGTGAAGCTCTCCTTCAAAGCAATGCCCTTCCAAGGTACAGGTGCCAGCGTCCCAACAGCAGGCAGCCAGGCACTGAAACATACTTTCTTGGCGCTGGCAGGCAGGTGCTCCGCTCTTTGCCGTTTGCAGCTGAAGCCCAAGCATCCATGCTTCAAAAAAAGTGGGGTGACTGAGCAAGAGCTGGGTTTCCATCAGACTAACCGGCCAAAACAAGGAGTGCTTCTATGACTGATGCATGCACATACCAATCATGAATGAAACAATCTCTTCTCCTCCTGAATATCTCAGCTTGGGACAGGAAGAAGAAAATTATGAAGGGCTTTCTGTTGGTGATTTGCTGTAGAAATCGCGAGACCTGTGCAAATCGCAAGACCTGCTTCACAGTTCCAGCTTCCTGCCTTCAAGGCTCGAGGGCCACAAATGCGCGTTCGAAGCCAAGCCTCAGGCACGACGGAACATTATTGGAACAGGTCGCGAAACGCCTCGAACATTACAACTGGCAACTTTCATGGCAAGCTCTGCCTCGGCTTTCTTCATGGCAACTTTCATGGAGCTGCTTTCGACTACGCCTTGTGCAGATCTTTTCAACCTAGGAAGGACACACCTTCCACCAGTGACAAAAATCATGCTTGTGCTTAGGCAGCAGCAGTTCCTCTTGAGCTACAAATACCTTAGTCTATGCCGTCCACCCACTGCTTATATCATCCGACTCGCTGCACTGCCTGCAGAAGAGTTACATGCCTCAGCACAGCTGGTAGTCCCAAGTGCTGCGGATGAATCTTGTAGCTTTGCCTGATGCTTTATCAAAAGATAACCTTTTGCATCTCTGCACTGTTCAAAAGATAATGTACTCCCACGGACAGCTGGGTGGAGCTCTTGCAGCGGCTTGCCTCTTCCCGGGAAAGAGCTGCACCATGAGTTCTTGGCAGGTATCGGCATCAGCCGAATTGGCCACACCTTAGTAGCCATGAAGTGTTGTCGACGAGGTGCGCTCACCCTGCTTAGCCAAGCGTCTGTGGCGGCGCACGCCCACCGCAGCATCATCATCAGTATCCTCCTCTTCACCGACAACTCGAAAACCCAACCTCGGACAAAGCTCCCGGGAGAGAAGTTGCTCAGCTCTGAGAAGCTCACTTCTCCAAGGTTTTCTCCAAATCTGACCTTCCCGATGCAAGACAAATTCTAAGCCAAGCTGAAAGTGCAAAGCTGGAATGTGGGTTGCGCGCCTCTCAACACCCGCTTGGTTTTTGTCTCGAGTCAGCATATTGGAGACATCCTAGCAGGAAAGTCGATAAAAGAGGCTCCCCTCACTCCTCCTGAACACAGGAGAAAGCATAGCTGTGGACCAGCAAGCGGGTTTGTTGGCTTTCTCTAGGCATAGGCTAGACTATCAGGCATGCAAATAATGATGCAAAATCGTGACGTTCCGTGCACTGTTGGTGATATATTCTCGGTGCCCAGCATTTTCGAGGAGAGCAGCTGCATTTTCTGCATGCCTGGCCCGGCCACTGCCAAGAACAAAAATATTATATATTTCACTACAATGGGCAACTCAGCTGGGGAGTTTCTGAGTTTCCAACGGAACCCCTTCGTCCTTAGTTGTAGAGCAAATCTGTCACCATAACGAGTCTTTGTGAGCACGTGGTCTGGGATTCAAGTTGCTTGGACTTAAGTAGGATGACTAGCTGGGCACTCTGCTGAATCATCAGATCCTTGATCTTCATCGGACCTGGCTTAGGAGTGTTGGCAAGGAGTAATGAGAAGTCAAACTCAACTGTGACTTGTTCAAGAACTTATTGTGGCAAATGTATTGCAAACCTTGCCTGTAGCTGTTGACAATCGGCCTGCCACACCAAGGTGTTTGAGTGCAAGCAAACTTGAGTCACTTAGCTCCAGGCTGATTGGCTGAAACATTGGATATAAGCAAGTTCCTGGAGACAGTCTGGCCAACAAAATGTGAGGCAAAGCCCCAAATTGTCCTGTTGACTGGAGCCAGGCCCTTCTCTTTTCCTGCCTGGACAGGTTGGAACATCACCGGTCCATGCCTCACGACAAATACAACTGCTCCTCAGCGTCTTCGTCATCGGAGTCCTGGCACAGCAAAGATTGGCGAATTCATCAGTCGAAAGGAGTGGTGCATCAGTCAATCATTGCCTGGCCTCTACGTCTTTCGCAAGTCGGAAAGAACAACGGTCCGAATTGATTTCGCGTGTTTTGTCATGGTGTGTTGTGTTGTTTCCGCTTTGTTGCTGAAAATGCTGCACTTGGCAGCATCCCTCAAAGAATTGGCTGGTTTTGGGTTGACTTGGTTGGGGTTCAGGCTGAAATTGATATGGTTTAGTTTAGGGCGGGTTCTGAGTTGTTGCTCGGTGGGTTTGTTGGTTTTGGGGTGAGTTAGGCTTGCATTAGGTGGGCTGATTAAGGTTGGTTTTGGGTTTTAGGATTAAATTAGGGTTGGCGGGTGAAAGGTAAATTTTCGGGTAGGATTGTTGTGGATGTAGGGTTCGTTTCACGCCGGCTGCGGGATTGGTGTAGTGCAGGGTTTGTTTCGGAGAGAGGAATAGCCTGCGCAGCCTGAGCCTCGAGCCCTGAGGCCACGCTCAGCCTGCAAAGCAAACAAAGCCACGGAAGCCACAAAGCAAAACAGGAAAACAAAGAAAATCCTGCGAGCAGATTTATGTCCACAACTTGAACACCAGCGGCTGACATTCCATTTGGCGCATGGTGTCGGCAAATGGGGACAAAGCATCGATGATGTGTTGATGAAGCTGCAGGTGCAAAACGGCACACATGCTGCAGTTTTGCGCTTGCCTTTGAGGCTTGAGGTCACGGCAGGACAGCCGGGATTGTTCTTGACAAAATGCTCGATACTTCCCTTTTCCATACAATGTGTTGGATGCGCCAGATTAAGAATCGCACAGGAGAGCAACGGGCAGAACACTGACCAGAATGTGTCAGAATGTCCGTTGATTTGCACAAAACGAGTCACGATTGGGTACAGAACAATAGAAAACAATAGGTTACGCATGAAAACCGATCGGCCGGGATCACGCAAAGTTGTGGCGCTGCCGTTTGCGTTGGCCAAGTAGGTTCAAATGAGAGCCACATTGGGAAACAGCGGGTGCCGTCAGCCAACAGCCTGCCTGTGCGTTCGCGCCGTTTTTAGTGTATCCCAACTCGTGCCCCTGAATCGTCATTGCAGACAAGCAACGGTTACAACGGTTAATCGCAAAGCACAATTTACAACGGCTCATCGCTGCAAACACCTGGCCTGCACACAATCCAAACATGAGACATCTCACCAGCCTCTTCTTCTTTCACCTCGTCTTGCACTGCTACCTTAGCTCTGATTCCCCTCTGCATGGCTCCCTGGTGCCCACTGTGGAATTCTATAGGCACTAGACTCTAACCTGAGCCATCCATTCACCATGCAGGCCCGCACTGCTGCAAAAACATTGAGTTCATGCTTTTGTGCGGCAGAAAGGCCAAACGGCCTATCGCTGTTTGCCATGTTGTGTGGTTCAGGTCTCTTTGACTTTGAGATTGCTTCAAGCAGCATGTGGGCAAATGCACAGCTTGTCTCGCTGGCTTTGTTGCTGCAATCTTCACGATTTGTTGTTGTTTGTTTTTCATTCACGGTCGTGCAACTCCGAGATCCAAGATTGAACCATACCAATCCTCGTGCCGGGTCAGCGCTTGAAACGCTTGCGTGATGCACACGGACACAAAGCAAAGCGCAGCAATGCAATAGAACTGTCAAATGAGAAAAGTCTCGTCAATGAGATGGCTGATGCCCTTTTGCTTGAGATTGTTGAGATGTGCGAGCTTCTAAAGACCGGGGTGCGGAAAATGCCTGCTCGCAATACCTCTCTCTCTCTCTCAACACAAACAAGCAGAAGCAAAAGCGCTGCTACATTGGCAGAGCTCAAAAAGACTCCTGCATCCTGCTGGACCTCAGCACCACGGGACACGCAAGCTGGCTGGCTCTACCGTTTTCCTTGCTACGTTTGAGGTCTAGAATTGATGTGTGATTTAGAAATGACGTGTATATACAGGGGTCTGGATGGACCGGCAATTACAAGTACAACACACTTGTTCATGCACGAAGCAAGCTTGTAAGCATGCTGAGTGCACGGCCATGGCTGGCATCAATTGCTTCCGTCGATGCCAAACCTGGATGCATATGTTGCTAGTGTGCAATGGCCTGCTGTGCAGGCTTAAAATATCTGGTCTCTCTGCTGTCATCCGAGAGCCAGACCATCCACCTGCTTCCACCCCGAGAAGACCTCGAACGCACCAAACTCTGAAGGTACTCTTGGACTTCATGAAACCGCATGTTCCTGCCTTCGATCTCTCGAGTGGAATCCACAATGTCTTGCCTGCCAAATACGAATGGTGCTTCGGTGACACGTGCGGCTGAAAGCACCTGCCACGCAGCTCCCAAATTCTTGCAAAAAGGTCGTCAAAGCCCTTCTTGCCTGACAGATTGAAAAGCTTCCCAAGTCTGAACTCAATCAACTGACATCTATATGGAATGAAACGGCGAGTGCAATCTCAGACTCTGACTGACAGGTAGCTGTCTCTTTCTCATCGGCTCACTGCCTTGGACTGGCAAAGAACAATGCCCGTGTGCCCATTGCCTGGACAACAAGCATGACGTCTATTTCTGAACTGGCTGAGTTTCCGGCAAGCCGATGCAAAGATGGGACCGATCATGGCACGCGCCTCTCATGAGCTGATGGTTACTCAGCAGCATCTTCGTCGCATATCCATGCGTTGGCAAGATCCAAAGCCCGGCAAGGACCCCAACCTTGCTTGGGTTCGATCGTATCTCCGTCTTCATCCTTGAGACTCGTCCCTGTAGAAAAGGAGGTCTCTCAAAATGCGGGTCCGCTCTGGGTGGTCACTCATTTTCTTTCTTTTTCTGAAACCATCCAAGAGGGGGGGGCTATTTAGAGGCAGATCCCAATGTGTGGATTTGAGAACTTCCCAAAGTTAGCAATAGGCAATGTCCTTTCTATGCTCTTCTGGAAGGTCTCATTCCGAACAGCATCATAGACGTCCTGCGTTCAAACTAATCTTGCAAAAAGCCACATACAAATCACATAAACGACATGGCTCCTCCAAAAGCTTCAAAAGTTCTTGCAGGCTAAGCTCCTGAATGTTGCTTCCAAGCCAGTCTCTAGCCATTGCTCGATCTCGTGTCGCAGGCCTTGTCAGAATTCCTTAGAACAAATTGGCACAAATCACGATGCCCCTCAGCCCAAGACAAGGCCGGGCCTGTTGCTTGTGGTTCCGCTTGCGCTTGGAAGATCTCGACCAAGAAACCTGCACAATCAAACACACAAAACAACACACATCCAAGCAAAGGCATTCCTGGCATTCAGCCAATGCAGCCAGGCCACAGGAGTTCAGTTCTTCCATTCAGCGATTCACCATCCGGTAGACTTGCGTAGCCGTTGCCATGTCCTGCCAAAAGACATATTTTTGCAGTGGATGCTACCTGTCTGAACAAACTTACAGGTTGCCGCGGAACTCAGGCCAGTACGCTTCACAACTTTGCAGTTCTTCAAATCTTTCTCGTTTAGCCTTGTCCAGTTCTAAACAATCAAAGAAGCTGCCACAGACCTCGCAACAACTATCCAGCCTGTGCATTGCTTCTTGACGTAGTTGCAGGATGCTACATGAGTCGTCCAGTGTCAAGCTCAAGCCTTCCATGTGACTGCAGGACCAAATGTTCAACATTAAGAAAGGTAATAACGGCGCTTCATTTTGAGTGCTCGACTTTGCCCTGCGTTTGCTGCGTGCACAAGCCTAGGCTCTTGTGACACTGTTTCAAGCAGCGCAGATTGGACATCACTCAATCCTGCAAAGACTGTCTTGCTCATGTCCGTTTCTTTTCCCCAAGCAATCGTCTCAGAGGCCAGCTTCAGGACGACTTGCTGCGGCTTTCGTTTTTTTGGTATGAGCTCTATGCCGGCAATCAGCAAGCCACCTGCCATGGGCAAGCACAACTTGGTACCCGTACCTATATATTGTGCTGAGTTGCTTTAAACAACAATACTGTCGCTCAATTGGACTCCTTGGGTCATCACGCGAGTGTCTCAGTGAGGCAAAATCTGTAGCGGCCAATTCATGATCATCAGTTTATCAAAAGCTCTCTGCCTACCGCAATCTAAAGAACAATTGTGGATATGGGGTGGTGCGCAAGCTAGTCATGTTCTGGGATGCCCCGCCTTCTATCTGTCGCTCGTAAGAGCTTAATGGCAGCTCATCTCGAAGAGCCTTGGCTTGAAACAAGACGACTGTCATTTGGATGGCCATCTGGATATTTGTTTCGGTAGCTGCTTTGCTAGGGTGTTGAATTCTTGATGTCGCCACCCTGACTACCTAGGCAGCCCTTCATGGAGAACGTCCTTTTGGATCTTACACGGCAGCTGCATCGTGGGACAGTATCTCGCACGTTGAGAATGAGTCGTGGCGCAATGGCAACTTGAGACATGCTCATTCGCGCGGGATGTTTGCTCTGTTTTGCGCAAAACAATCGTTTCGCCTGCACGAAATGCAAGAGTTAGACTCTTTTCACCCGCCAAGCTTTCCAAGCTTCCGCAGCAGCCTTGCCGGGAAGACAAACTTTGGACCGCCAATGCGATTGGCTTAAGGCAGCTGTTTCTTGGTCTTTTTGAAAAAGTGTCAGACCTTATTGAAGCACTCAAGAGCGCACGTGTGCTCTGGCGCACGTACCGGCGGGTTGCTGCGAAAGCGCAGAAAGCTGTGCGCGTGCTTCTTGCCTGTAAGGTGCGGCTACAAAATGGATATGTTGCGCAGACGGAACGCGTGTTTTGAGTAGAAAAACGGTTAGCGCAGGCAGAGGACCCATCACGCCAAACGTAGAAGTATCACAGTTGTCAAAGCCTCAAACAGTGAGCACAGGTACTCCGAACGAAAAGACACAGCTACACGTACCCCACCCCGCGTTAGAGTCGCAGAGCACTTCAGCAAGCTAGGGTCGTTCCGTTAAGCAAGTGACCTGAACTGTAGTATCCCAGCCCCACCCACCACCCGAAAGAATTGAGACCGCACATGGGCCTCTTGCCGCGTCTTAGAGGGGTCGACACTAAAAACTACTCCAACCTTGGCCGCCGCCGCAAGCTTGCAACATCTAGCCCTTGCCACGTCATGGGACGTCCAGACCAATGCCTGCGTATGTTTGTGATGCGAGCCCCGTCATTTGCGGACGGCATACACATGTGCCCAAATGCCGCGCAGACTAAACCCACCGCCACAGTTCTGTCCCGGATCGTCTCACTGCTGCTCCAAAGCCATGTGGAAAACAAATGACACTCGGCACTATCAATGCTATGCGCTATGAAGTTCTGAAAGTTCTGACAAATAAAACATGTAAGGAATGCAAACAGCTTCGGCGCGGCCAAATTCAATGGGAAGTCCTTCCCGGAACTTGGTCCAGAAGGCTTTCGGAACCTGCCTCAAATCCTCCCAGACCAAAGATGGGCTGAGACCACAACTGTTGTCACTGAGGGAACAAGACTCAGCACAAAAAGCCAAGCATGCCAAAAAAAAACATAGAGATACTGCCCTTGCGATTGAGACAAATTTGCCAGATTCTTCATGCTGCCGAGCTGCGTCATCCCCACTCGAGCTGAGAATGATGCTTGACGGTGACCCATGTCCGAGCTCCGCCACAATGAGCTCCTCCGAATCAATCCCTTCCGGCAGCCAACGCAGGTGTAAAGTCATTTGGCCTTTCCTTCAGCTCGCGCACCAGAAAGTCGCTAGAGACTCCCATGCGCAGCTGCTGGTCGGCTTCAAGCAAATGGGTGATCTGCCATGCAGGGACTCTTAACAACTGACAGGCTGTCATTCGCTTCATGACGCTTTCTTGCGCCTGCAGCTCAAGTTCCCGTGGCTGAGCCGCACCTTAGCTCCAAAACAATGACTTGCGTCTCACTTCCACCATGAGACAGCGTCTCGCACGAGGAGGTGGATTGAGTTTTGCCTGGCAATAGGTGAGTTATCATGTCAACTGCATGTCAAATCCATGCAAGCACTGCCAGCATCGGCCAACACGCCTTGATGTTGGACACTTTGCTGGCAGATTTTGGAGCTGCCACCTCCACCCAGCACGATTGATTTGCATGCTGCAACCATGCTGGACCACTGGACCAGCGGAACAGTGGACCGCTTGGCAAAGCACCTCTGCGACCGGCTTTGCCTTTTTCTCCGACGCGGAGAGCTTGTCATCCTGCAAAAAAGCGAGTCGTACTGAAGCAAACGACACCCAGCCCCACAGCCAGCTACAAGCGCCAAAGTACCTCTGCGACCGGCTTTGCCTTTTTCTCTGACACAGGCGGCTTGTCATCCTGCCAAAAAGAGGAAATTGGGACATGCAAGCTCTCTTGACTTGCAATCACCAGCAACAGCTGACGCCATGAATCCCAGTCCCACAGCGTCTGAACAGTCAAGCATTGTCCTCTGTCAGATTTCTCCCAAGAAACCTACGGCAGCAGCAGGAACGCCATGCAAAAGGACGAGTTGCTTGAGGCCGCCGCAAAAGTTCCCGTCGCTTGTTCAATCGCTCATCATCCGCCAGACCCTGGAATCCACCAGTGGCCAATCCTGAAAAAGTCGACAAGCTGTACAGGAATTCGCCACAAACAAATGCTGCACAGGCGCTTTTCACAAGCTTGCATTGGCTGAGGCTCGTCTCACCAAGCCTGAAACCCAAGTATAGTCCATCAGCACATCACAGCGCAACATGCCAAAGATGCTCACTAGACAAAAGCATCAAGAATTATGCTGACTTATGGCCATGCCTCTGCATGACTTTCTTGCGAATCTCCAGCATCGTATTCGTGTCCAGTACAGACAGACTAAGACCTGGAAAGTCAGACTGACACGCCACACACACTAGTTCTTCAAAGTCTGACTTAGGACAGAGCTTTGCGGAGTGTCTGAAGCTGCATGTAGCAGCCTTTTGGACACGGCAAAAGAGAAGCCAGTGGGCACCCAAAGGCACAAAGGCAAGCTTCCTACAGAGGTTCGGTTTGCTAAGGATCCCACTTCAACTTTACCTCTTTTGCTTTGGACATGTCAATGCCCATCACGATCAGGCCATCTGCCGATAAAAGAGTCTCTGCACTACGGGATCACTTTATGTATATGATACATATAGATGTATATATATATATATATATATTTCTACATCCACGCCTTGAATTTCTCTTTCCAAAGAACTAAGAGCAACATCATCATTGAGAGCCTCAGCACAAATTAGCAGACAACACTCGCGACAGCCTGTGGCAATCATTGATGAATCAGGGCACAACACAAGGAGAAATACCGTACACAGCATCTGGGAAGTGGCTTGGCTCTTGCAATGATCTGCGATGCCTGCAATGCCTGCGATGCCTGCGATGCCTGCGCTGCCTGCACTGTTTGTGATGTGCGCGCTGTTGGGCTTCCTACACTGTTTACGCTCCCTCCTCGAGTCCACCAATAAAGGTCTGGTACCGAATAGCTCAGGAACTTCCCAGATATGAGCTAATTGACATGCTAAGAGCCGAGCGTTCTCACCGCTCGTCGACAAGATGATCTTTGATGCGTGTCCCCTGCCGACTTCCTCTACAATGCGCTCCTCATCTGGCAAGTTCTATTTACTCAGCAGTTATGCAGCGCGCTTGAAGGCACACACAGCCAGCCAGCCAAGCTCTCCTTCAACTGCCGCACAAGGAGGTTGTTTGGAATATTGAGCGTGAGCTGTTGGCTGTCATCTTGAGCATGAGTCAACTGTCAAACAATGTGTAAAGACTCAACACCGCTAGCCGTGCATCAGGCCTGCACTTCCAGCTCCCGCACGGGAGGTGGAGAACTCCAGAGCTCCTAGGGCAACATACGTACCAAAAAGCTCAAGCTACATCATGCTGCGCACATTGGGAATATGTATACAAACCCGTCCTGCATCTTCTTTGAATCATAGCCCATACTCTCGCGTAGCTTCATTTCTTCCTGCAATGGCGCTCAGATGAGGACCACTTCAAAAGCTGGCTGTCGCCTTGCGGTCAAAGATGTTGCCATGGCACTGTTCATTTGCATCCTCAAGGGACCAAAATGCAACGGAGAATTGAGTGATCCGAGTCCTGGGAATTCCAGCGACCTGGAGGTCGGTCAAGGCACTTTGCCGATGATATTCGGATTTCGTCAAGGATTGCCTTCCACCGCTTGCTCGATCAAAAGATCAAAACCATGCAAGCACAACCCCCACTGCCTTGGCTATACTTTTTGCCAAAGTTGATTCGTGCTCCTCGACGACTATCGCCAGCAAAATTTAAGCTAATTGTGCTGTACTTTGAAGAAGCTCACCGTCCTTTGAAAGTGGCTCTTCACGGCGCACTTTCGAAGAGCCCCAAACCTGTGGGGGAATTCTGATTGAGTTGTCACACCGTCAGAAGGCCTGGGGATCAGACTGACTTTGGTGCACTTTGCCTATGATAATCGTTGGGATAGCCTTTGCGGACATGTGTCTGTGCGTCTCAATAATCCAAGGCTGCTCATGAGTCGCACCTAGGGGGTGCTGTACATAGCGAATGCCGTTGACCTGCACTCTCAACACAAATCCCATTCAATCCCTATACCCTCATTGTTTGACGCGTGCAGAGGGGCACACCTCACGGTCACACATGATGTGCGAGTGACCGAAGACGTGGCAGCGAGAGCCACAGGATCGCACCTCACAGCAGGGTCAACCTGGCCTGCTCCACATTGCACCGCTCAAACCTGGTATTCCTCATTCCGCTCACACCTACCCGGGTCCATTGCACCTGCTGGTCAATCTCCCTGCATCCCATTACACCACCTAGGCTTCGGCCGAGCTTCCGAGATTTCGGCTCAAACTCCCAAAAGCCGAAGGCTGAGATTTGGGCACAGCCGTCGAGGACCAGGATAACATTCCTCGGTGCTGCAAATTTGAAACTTCCGCAACCTACTTACGCCATCTGTGTCTTGAGGGCGCAGCCTGTCGCGGCAAGAAATGGCTCATGGTAATGACAAAAGGCCCATCAGAATCCTACACATGATAGTTACACAAGCGGTCAAAGGACAAGAATACATCATCCCACCTTGCTTTGCTTCGGTGGGGGCTTTCCCTCCAGCTGGGCCTTGATTAGAAACAGCCAACCAAGAAGGAGAGGAGTACGGCCGGACCTGCTTTGCTTCTGCTGCTATTTCTTCGGCTTTCCTCAAGGCTGCAAGGGCCTTACAATGTGCAGCTGGGCACAATCGAAAGTTGCTGCAATCTCGGGCAGCAGCAGCTGCAGGTGCACAACCTAGACGACGCTGATTCAGCCTTGGTACAGCATTGTTCAAACTAAGAAAGAATCACAGCTTTAGAGCGACTGGGAATAATCATGGGGTAAGACAACGACGAAGCAAAGAAATCCGCGATTTCAGGCTGCTGGGCATCGTTGGTATCGCCACCTGTGCTAGACTGAAAACTGTAAATTGCTGTAAACATGCGCTTCGCAACTTTGCAAGGGTCGGACGGCCAGTGATGTCCCATGGCCACTGAGTTTGCATGTCGAAAGGAATATCTGCCATACCGCGCGAGAACCTGCAGGTCATCACATCGGGCAAACGCCTGGCCTGCCTTTCAATGCAAGACGACAGCCAGCACATGAAACAGCAAAGGCTACATCAGCATGAGCAACGCATGTTTGCGGGCTCCACTGTAACTTCAACAGATCGTTCGCTCTCCCTGCGGTTGAAAACAGTGCTGCTCATACGGTGGCATGACCACCTTCGTGGCTCGTTGCACTGTTTTGTTTAAGCACTTTGAAACCCAAAAACGGGCTAGATCTAGGTCTTCAGCACTTGAGGAGCGGGTGAACGAAAGCTAGCAGCTGTTGCATGAGATGGGTCGGTGACAGAGTGGATTCATAGGTAGCTTGTGTACAACGAGCGGCCCGGCAAGATTCGTAGGATGCGACACGCAAACGCACATGGTGGCGTGGCAAACCTTGAAAAATGAAAACAACGAGAGGCGTCAGAAGCTGTCTGAAAGCACCTCTGGGTTCTGCATGCTGCGTGTGCAAAGATTCTTGCGAGGTGGTTTACCGAGAAGGCTGAGGTCTCAAATGAACAAGCTGAATCGGTGGAACATGTAAAAGTTCGTAGCACCAAGTCCAAAACGGGCAAACCGAGACTGCTGAACACTGAGCCACTGCCCGGGGGGGGGGGATGGACCAGGGAGGAATCGAGCCTGAGACCGGGGGGGGGGGGGGGGTCTAAATAATTGATGTTTTCAATCTTTTCGGCTCAAATAATTGAAAAAACAATCTTTCGGCATTTGAGCCCCTTACCTTGCTTACGCAAGGAGAAACTTCAGCTAGCTAAAGCTAGCTTTCGTGACAAGCTGAGCTCGTGGCCCATCAACCAAATTGTCCTGCAGCTGCATAGCGACGCTGTGCAGATCTGTTCTGGCAAAGCTAGCTACTTCACAAGTGTCCAAAGCTCTCCTTGTACCAGGAAAAAAGTGGGCATACCGCACAATTTGCGTTGATGAATGCTGGCCTAACCAATTTCAAAGACAAGTCTGCCCAAGGTTTGCTGCAAGGGCAAAAGTCCCGCCTTGTATGAACACCGAGCTTTTCGCAAATCTGGCGGTTTGGGAATAGCATGCTTGATGATTCGAGAATGACATTTGACCAGAAACACCATGAGTGACAGTCTATCTTGCTAAGCTATGTTTTGTGCTCGAGCAGTGCAAACTGATTGCTATCAAGCTCCTCGGAATGAGTCCACTGATTTGCGCAAAAACTCTTCAATTGAGAGGCTGCATGTCCGTAGCCAGCACTGAATGCCTCCAAGATGGCCAAGAACTTGTGCACCGAAGACAAGCCGTCTTTCTTGGTTACCCATAGCCTAACAGTACAAATCGCTGATATGATATGCATGAATTATCTCGAGCTAATAGCCAAAAGCTGAGCACCGATCTCATGGTTGCCCGGAACATAGAAGATGGCTCCAAATTTGTCCTTCATGGCTGACTTGCGAGGACACTCGCGAACAAATGCCAGACGAGCCTGTAGAAGACGAAGAGAAGTCTCAATGGTCTGCGCGAGAATGCAACTGAGTCCTACTGCTTGTGCTTAAGCTGTCAATGAGCCTGAACTGTCCTCTGTGTGATATATGGGATGCTACAGCTGCAGGCAAAGGAGTCTACCCAGCCAACAAGGTCCAGATTGTCTACCACCCTCTCACGGAACCTGTACTGCAGACCCAAAAAGCCTTTGCCTCTAAGCTGGAGGCGACATCACCCGCTAAGAGAAGCACCGTATCCTCAAATAGAAACTGCTGACTGCCCTGTCCAAACCATCCAACTGCAATTTGGGATGTGTACTCAAGCCAGAAAAATGCATACAACACACACGAATTACGGCTGCTTTCCCTGCCACTCGGATCTTGCAGGATTGCAAGCTGATTCTCCTGACATGCAGGAAGCTGCTTGAGGTGCGTCATGTTCTTGCCTAACAGGTCGCTGCCCCAACGTACACATCAAGCTTGTCTGGTAATGCCCAGCCGCGCACCCATGTCCGAGTGCAAGTCGCTCCATGTGACTACCTGTGCTCTCATGTGAATTGGCGAGTGCCCCCTGATTCCTGCCCCTTCTCACAGAAGCCTCTGTGAAGTCCTGTGAAAGACGAGGCCACTCCTCACAAATGGAGCGTCTTTTCACAGAACACGCGACTGTGTCCACAGGATATCGATGATATCGCGAAGGCAAGATACCCTGCCTGAGAGCCGGGATCCATGTCCATGGGCCGCCAACGTTCAAGCATTATCTCCTGGTAAGAAGCTCTTCCCGGTCTTCCCTCTGCCTACATCCAGAGCTGATCCAGGTCCTTTGGAAGTGAAATCGCCTGGCAGAATGCTAGGGCGCAAAAGCTTGTGTCAAACACAGTCGCCTTCTCCAACAGTGGATTCTCCACCGGCTTTACCGTGGCAGCGACTTCATGCCTAGTTGGTGTGTGTGGAAGTGTGTGTGTGTGTGTGTGCGGATGTGTGAGTGTGTGGATGTGTGTGTGTGTGTGTGCGTGCGTGTTACATTCACCCAATCAATCCGGCATGTCAAAAGCGGAACTGTACAGCACGCACAACAAAACTGAATTGACAGAAAATGCTGCACTGTCTCAGAATGGCACTTGGACGCAGCCTTTGTTTTGCTTTCATGTGCTTTCATGTGCTGGTCGGGCTCCACATCTTTGCCTTCGTGTTCTTTGGACTTTGGTTTCCTCAGGTCCGCAAGCCAACATTTCCGGAGATGGAAAAGCGTAAATGCAGCCAAAGGTCCAAAGAACGTGAGCTGTGACGTTGCAGCCACATCGGGCGCAACCTGGGCAGTGGTGCAACTTTGTACATCACAAGGAGCTTGCCTGCAAGCTTCAGCCTCAGCAGTGATACCTTGCTGGCCAGAGTGGCGAGAATCCCCCACGTCCATGTTGAGCGACACGACTTGCTCTTCCAAAGCCTGGCGAAAAAACAAAACAAGCATAGCAGCAAACATCAAACATGCAGGCTCCACAAAGCACTTGCAGGAACACTGCTTGCAATGACCTCTTGGATTGCCTGGGGCATGCGCCCACCACAGCGCATTGGTCAGGTCACGCACTCTTGCTGAGTCAAGCACCTAATAAGTCCACACATGGTCCATCGGCGTCCTTACAAACATTGCAAGGCTGCAAAGATATGACCATTGCAAATATTGCAAGGCTCATTCGCGCTCCTCCCAGTCAGGGACAAAGGTTGTTTCAGCTGCTTCCCATTCACCATGAGGACCGATGTCCTTGCGACAGGAAAGCTCAGCTTGAAAGGACTCAAAGCAACTTGGCAAAGGCAAAAAAACAAACAATCCGCTTTGTCCCCGCCTTGTCCAGGGTATAGCGAAGCCGTACCTGCGCAAATGTCAAATTTCTGCTTTCGAAGTGGACTTCATGCTCTCAATGCATCGCAATGGGCACATGGCAGTCCGAATGCAGCCCATGAACAAGCATTGATTTGCCTGTCAATATCAAAGCATCAGGCAAGCATACGTATGCAGTGCAAGTCGTGCCTTCACAGCAACGAAGGTCAAATTTTTCACCGATTTCAGGCTCCACTTCCAACTGATATGCACTCACGTCACGATCGAAGGATAGCTGCAAAGCATTTGCATACATCTTCGTCACTATCGGCGTTGGAAGCTGCACACGCAACAACACTCCAAGCCCCAAGTCTTTGCCATCCATAAGAACCCATCTGCCCTCGCCATTCTCCAAACGGTCAATGCTGAATTGGTAGTCCAGCAAAAGCCAGCCGTGTCGAGGTTCCCCCTCCAAAACATCACCCTTCTTTACTACTCCAATGGCGCCGGCCAAGGTGGATGGCAGGCTCCGAACCATCACAGTGTTCACAACCACGTCATAGCGAGCCACTGCAGTTCCTTTTTGTCGAAGCCATTTGGTCAGTTCTTTGACGTCATTTTTTTTTTTGTTGGCAATGAAGGCTTCGCAGCTGACTTTGCGCTGCTCAGTGTGCTTCTAGTGACAGCCGGGGCTTTGTCTGCTGCGCTTGCAAAAGTCTCAACTTTTTCCATAAGGATGCCCAAGCCTACCGCTGAACCGTCAATCAGCATAAAGCCATCGCATTCTTTGCCGTCCAAACCATGGTGCTTGACTTTGATCCAGGGAGTCCCCGAAACGTCCTGCATCAAGCCTTCCACGATCTTGCCCTGCACATGGAAGCCCAGTATGCCAGCTGCTGTGCTCGGAGCTTTGCGAATGATAACTCTGGCATGCAGTACCCTCCACGATGCCGGCTGAACGCCGGATTTGCTCATGGCTGGATGGGCAATCAAAAATGCAAGAATGCAGTCACACAAGTTGATTCCAAAAGGCACAACAAACGTACATCGCCAGGCAACTTGTTCAGATCTTGTTCACATTTGTCAGCAGTATAGGCTTGTACGGTGAAACCTGTCATTGTGCATGATGTGACGACGTGTGGAAAATCTACAACCATTGAGTGAAATTCTGCAGCTCATCAGGCATCACAACCTTTTTGATTGAAGACATTTCATGTGTCCCTGCTCGGCAAGCAAGGACCAATAGTTGCGACTGAGCATATCCGAATCGTCCAAAAATTTCAAGGGCTAAAATATGTTCTTTGCTGATGTACGTGCCTGTCCACCAAACACATAGTTAAATGATGTGTTGCCATATCATGCTATCATGTTGTGATGAACTGTTGCCCTGATGTCATGCAATAACAGTCTGAAATCCCAAGCAATGCAACAAAGCCTGTGCCTATTTGTAAGCATATCATTCAAAACATTGTGTGTAAGGGTCTGCTGATGAACAAACCGTAGGTTGACAAATTGCACCTTGTCCATCTTGCAGCCAACTGGGCATGCAAAAACTTGAGGAGCCCCGGGGGCACACAGTATGTTTCACGAAACATGCTCAAGTCATCCAGCATCGGAGCCAAACGGTTCTGAACTACCAAAGCGCATGGGGTTGTGTACAGCAGCAAAGTGCCTCCAACGCTTACTTTATCCTAAGGCGGGCCTTTCCTTCCTTCCATCCTTGGCGCCAAGCCCCCTATTCACGCACTATCCGCGCGTACGTCACATAGAAGCGCTCGGTTCAAGGCCAGATGCAGGTGCGCCCAGGCCACTTATTCCTATGGCGGGCACCTTCCTTCCTCCCCTGTTGTTTGTTTGTTTGATCCGCGCGCGGACTCGACTACGATGCCGGGGATAGACTGGCAACCATAGGTGCCACCTCCCCCCTGAAACCGGGAAACACAACAGGAAAAAAGGAAGGGGAAACCAACAACGCACCCGGATTTCAGCCAGGGCAGACCGCATCTATCCATCGCCAAGTGCTATAAACTTGAAGCGGCACCGAAAAGACCCCAAGTGTTAAGGCATGTTGCACTGCTCCTAGCTTGAACCCAAACATGAACCCCCAAAAGAACAAAGCAAGTCCGAGGCGGCCGCAGTTCTTTTTACCGGGATTGCTGAAAGTAGCACTGCTTCCAGGGCACTGGTGCGCCTGGAACAGGAGGCGCGTTGACCCCCCTGAAATTTGAAAAGGCAAGACAATGCGTGTCTTTGCATACAAATGCAGTGCTTGCGGGGCGCGGCATGCGTGCCCACGCCCCAAGGTCCGGAGACCGAAAGGTCCGGAGACCCGAGGTCCGGAGACCAGAGTTGGTCCGGAGACCTGGTCCGGAGACCAAGAGGCCCGGAGACCACCAATGAAAGTGCAGAGCGTCTGCTACCTATACTTGCAGAGCCTTGTATAAGGCAGTGCAGGGTGGGTGGGTGGGTTTCAAATGTTAGAATCTTGGTCACTGCTTCAAGCCTAAAGGGACATGCAGGGAAAAAAGCAACCGACCGGAGCAAACTCGATACGCGCTTTTTTACTTGAGCGTTGCTTAGAAGTGCAGGCTCTGAGATGCAGGTGGAGTGACGATGCGCGTCCACTCCATCTTCCTGCATCTCATGCGGAGCCTGTCGGAATACCCCCCTGAGGTCAACATTGCGTGTTCGACCATCACACAGGGTGTTTTACCCATGGGGTGTGAGACAAAAAAGAGGTATGTTGCACATGTATGCAATGCGTGCATGAGTGTGCCTGGGAGGATGCGTCCTCCTGCAGAGGGCCAGTCCGGGCCGACAGAATGCCGATGGCATTCGTCAATGTGCGACTGCGTGCACAGCGTGGGCCTCGCTGCATATGCTCGAAATGGTCCTGCGGGAGCAGCGAGATGCAGTAAGCCAACGAAATGTTGGAAGCTGACAAGCTTCCATTCGTGCGGGCGCATGCGTCCCTCAATCAGGCCTTGTGGAGGCTGGATGCCACCTGGGCCGTGAAAGGGTGGGAGGGTGGGTTCAAAAAAGAACGAAAGAGGGGTCAAACCCTCCAGGCATGTCCCTTACCAAAAGGCTTGAAGCAGAAATGGCCACGCGGCCGAAGATTCAACCAAGATTAAAACACAGGGGAAAAGACAAACCCCTAGCGTTAGAATCTTGGTCACTGCTTCAAGCCTAAAGGGACATGCAGGGAAAAAAGCAACCGACCGGAGCAAACTCGATACGCGCTTTTTTACTTGAGCGTTGCTTAGAAGTGCAGGCTCTGAGATGCAGGTGGAGTGACGATGCGCGTCCACTCCATCTTCCTGCATCTCATGCGGAGCCTGTCGGAATACCCCCACTTTAGAGTTCTAAGCAAACGGTCAAATCACCTTACCCCCTCTTTAGTGCGTTTGCGATGCAGCCACGTGCTCGGGTCTCCACGGTGCGTCCGCAGGGTGAAGCGTGAGAGCTGATGCGTGAGGCCAGAAATCATGCGGCCTGAAGCGCACTCTGCCTTCTGGTCGAGCCTGGAATGCGGAGGTATTACCTCTGCTAAGCTGGTCTGCCCAGATGTTGTGCTCCCCTGGGATGTGTGACGCGATCACGGACCATTTGTGCTTATGGGCCCAGGCAGCAACAAGTTGCACAAAGACTTGTAAGGGCCAAGAAGTGGTGAACAATTTATTAACACCGGCTTCGGAAGCTGTGTTATCTGTCCCTGTGGGCATGCAAATGCCACGCACGCCTTGTCCCTCGCAGGACCATGCGATACGCATGAGTGCTAGTTGGGCCAAGGTTTCGAAGCATGCGATGTAACGCTGGGCTTCTTTGGTCAGGCATGGCCATTGTTCCTGGACTTCTTGGAATTGCCACGTCTCTGCGAACCACGCAACGGAGTTGCTGGAGATGCACCAACCTCCTATGCCCACTATACTGCCTTCGGCGCATGCATCCGCGGCTGCTTTGCAAGCCAGCATTGGCTTGCTTCTCAGGGGGCATGCGAGGTCTAGATGGAAGCATTGCAGCAACCATTCTACGCTGTGTTTGCTCATCCTGGACAGGCGAGTGTGCTCTGCGGAGGCGTCCGCTATGCGCGCCCAAGCGGATTTGTGACTAGGCACAACGCGAGGCAGGTCGGCTGGTGTGCGAATGCATGCCCCTTGGAACTCTAGAACTTTAGAGCCTGGCGGCATAAAAATGCCATGCACTGCTGACCTGAGCACGGCTTTGGCGTCTAATGCTGAAAGGAAAGATGGCCACAAACGCGCATGGACAGAGAGCATGCAACCCGGCGGCGAGCGCAGGTCTGTGTACAATGGCGCAAGCCAGGATCTGAGTTCGGGGCTCAGACTGGTAGCCCAAATGAGAAGGCCTAGAACCTGCTCTAGAAGTTTTCGCTTGACCTTCCCTGCTTTGAGCAGCTCGTGCAGCTGTCCTTTCAATTTGATGGTTTTTTCCGGCGTGAGTTCGATGGTCTCGTGCAGGAAATTAATGCGCCACCCACACCATGTGAGGTTGTCCTGAAATTGAACTTTCTTCCAGGAGATCGGGGCCGATATGGCTGCAAAAAACATGACCATGAGGGCCAGCTGCGCGTCTGCGTCACTGCGACGCAGTGCTGCTACAAGGTCATCTACGAACAACCATGCGCGATGCGGGCGCAGTCCCAAAATGCCGTGCAGTAGTCTCAGGAGGAATGCTCCGGTGCGCTGCCACCAGTATGCGGAGAAGCGTGCTCCGAAGTGGCACACTCTATAATGGTACAGGACATCGGCAACCCGAAACAGAAGCAGGCCATGTTCACTGGGGTGCACTTGGATCTGCTTTGCGCTGCTTTGAAATCAAAGCTTGCCCCCACAAAGGACGAGTGCGTGTCCTCGGGGAGGAAGGCTAAGCGCACGTCTGAGGCCATTGGCAGGCTGATGCGTTCGGGAATTGCGCACTTGGGGTTCACCCCACACACTGTGCTGTCTAAGACTAGTCGTGGGTCTTTGCCTTCAGCATGCACGACGTTGAGCTTCCCGACTGCTATGCCTTTATGCCAATGCTGTCTGGCCTGTTCGATGGACATGCTGGTACGAATGACCCATCCGTTTGCAATTTCTTTTTCTAGCAAGGCGGACACTGTTTCTGGTTCCGCTTCAGCGGCTTTCCAGTTGCCGATGCACTCGGTGAGTTCACTAGGCAGGTCTGCTTGAGGTTTTGGCGGCCACTGCATGCTGCGCGGCAAATCCGACACAGCCCCTGTTGGCACGCCTTCTGCCAGCAGCGGCACTAGTTTGAGGTCGGGGTCATTGGATGCCGTCGCCAGGGCATGCAAAAGTGATAGGCGGTACGGCTGTCCTTCATCGGGCGCTAGCTTGGATGGGCACGGCATGCTCATGGCGCGGAATGCTATCCGTGCTGCCTCCTCGGATTGCTGTTCCGAGAGAGGAGGGGATGCGTTGCCGCCCACATGGGCCAGAATTTTTGGGATGAGTTTTTGTTCGTCCAGCCAATGTAGCCAGGCCCGTGCGACTATTGTGAGCGGGTGGTTTGGTTGAGGGATTGAGTGGTCTGCAGTTGAATGCATGCCAGCTCCGTCGCATACCCGCAGGCGCACGGGGTGCAGTGAAAGCGGGGAGGGTTTGCCTAAGCGGCGGACCTCGGGTTGCGCGCTCACTTTGAATGCGCAATGTTTGATCAAGCTTGCTGCGAGACTTGCCGGGTACTCGGCTGTTAGCGTGCTCAGGTACTGGCCTGAGCTGCCTTGAACTCCAGCTATGCTGGCGTGCTTATGTTGATGCGTGCATCTGCTTGCCATGTGCTGGATGCATGCATTATTGCTGGCGAAGCACCATGATTTGGAGAGCAGCATACCATGTTGGCACGCATCCACCCATGCGAGGTGTCCGTGAAAGTTTTGTAAGCACTGGAAATTTTCCGGCTCTAACCACGCCATGCTGGATGGTGGCTGCTCGAAGATTGCTACGCCACTT